CTCACTTCCGCACTAGACACATCCGCACCACCGGGCCAGAAGAGGGCGATCGGGATGGGAGATGGGCGGATGGGTATGATAAGTATATCAACAAGGGAGAGGGGGGGGGGGAGGAGAGGGAGGGAGGGTTGATCAGTGTGGGTGCAGTGGTAGTGGTAGTGGCGGGCGGGGGCGGGAATGGCGGGAGGGGGCTGGACAGAGCAGGCCGTCAGTGCCGCAGTAGTAGATGCAGTGCAAATGCTCGATGCCTCTGACACCATGTCCCCCTTTGATGCGCCTGCTTGAATGTGCCTGCTTGATGTGCCTGTCTGGTACATCGGGCACACATCGGACGGGTGAGGCTGCCAGCGGCATCGGACGGGTAGTGGGTGGTGCAAGCCGGCTGCCTGCCGTCCTGGCGTGCCACCTGACTTGGCGCCGAGTTGCTGACGAGGCGAGCAAGATCGGGAGAGTGGTTGGTGAGCCATGGATGAGTCCAAGGCCAGAGGTCGCGGTGTAGTGGTAGAGGACGATGGCGGTGGTGGGAGTGGGCAGGGGCAGGGGGGGGGTGCTGGCCATGCCCGTGGAAGCAGCTCGGCCCGCCGTCAGCGCAAGTCGCGCTCGCGGTCGTCTGGGGTGGCGGTGAAGGCGGAGGTGAAGGCGGCGGCCAAGGCCGGGTCGAGCAAGGGCAAGAGCAAGGGTAGGTCGAGCAAGAGTGGAGCAGACCCGGCGAGGTCGGAAGAGCCAAGGTCGGCAGAGGCGAGAGACGCCGGGCAGCCAAAGCTGTTCGCGGCGGCGGGCTTTGTCTCGGGCGCGGTGCTACGGCAGGCGCCGAACCAGCGTGTCCCGCGCCCACCGCCGATGCCGCCGCCATCGCTCATGGCTGGGGCGGCAAGTGGGGGTGTTGGCGGAGTGGATCCGGCGCAGATGCCACTGAGGGCGCTGCTGCCAAAGAGCGTGCCGCTGGCGGCGGCGTCAGACACAACCGGAGTGGTCAGTATCGAGCCTGGCGCAAGAGCCAGCCTGCCGCCGCTTCCCTCCGCAGATGCTCGCGGGGCGTGGTGGGCAAGCCCATCCGCCGCGGACTCGCAGCCGCTGACGGTCGCCGAGCATCCCGGTGGGCCGACCGCCGATGCAGCACTCTTTCCCAGCAACGCAGGCATTGCGCTCGCGCCGCAGGAGGCCATCAGACATACACCTCCGGCCGTCTCGACCGTTGTGGTCGGCTCTGTTCACGACCCGCCTCCATCGGCGGCGGTCCTCCCGGCGCAGGCCCTTGTTCCGCCGCCACGGTCAGCCGACGCGCCGCACCCGGCGACCAAGGCCGGGCGGGCGCAGGAGTGGCTGGACCGGGCGCGGGCCGAGCTGCCGCATGTCTTTGAGCTCGCCGACGTGCTCTCGCCACTGGCACGGACATCCCACGTCGGAGGCCAGTACCGAGTCGGGTCGGCGCGGCTTGTGGCCGAGCTCGACGACGAGCACCTGATTTTTGGCCTCGTAGCCGAGTATCTGCAGCATATCGGCAAGAGCGCGTCGCCGTTGGCCGGTGCGGCTGCAGCTGCTGCAGAGCTCCTGGTCTCGGCCCCGGGCTACGAGCCGCGGCTACCAGCGGCCCATCCGCGGCTAGATGGGGCGCCGCGGCTGACGGCCGCGCTGCGCCTTGCCGGCGAGTCTGGGCTCGCGCTTTGGGCGCCTCAGGGCGAGGCTCCCAGCGGAGCTGCGGAGCTTGATCCGCTGCTAGACACACTGGGTGTCGAGCGGCGGGTCATCTCTGCCTATGAGCGCGGAGCGCTGCTTTCGTCACCGTTCCGCAAGGTCGACCCGGCGGTCGAGCGAGCGAGGGAGAAGGAGCGGGCGATGTGGGTGTCGGGCAAGCGCGGCCGGAGCCGCGATGAGCCCAGTGACTCGATGAAGGTCAATATCTGGGACGCGCGCGACGAGGTCAACACGCATTTGACATGGACGGCGTCGGGCGACATCGAGTCCGGCACGCTCAACGCGCTTGTCCTCGCGGCAACGCAGCCGCAGCGGTACGACACCACGTTTGTGGAGGCGCTGCTAATGACGTTCCCGTCGGTGGCCCCGGTGGCATGTCTCATCACCAAGCTGATGGAGCGGTTCAACGTGCCGGACTCGCTCGACGACGACGGGACGCGAGTGGTGGACGCGGTCGAAGCGCGGGCCATCCAGGCGCGGGTCCTAGACGTTGTCGAGCGGCTCTTCTCCGAGTACCCATACGTGCTTGAGCAGGGCGATGTGCAGGCGCTGGTGCACTTTCTGGAGTCGGTCGCGCCACGGGCCGGGTGGCAAGCTGCGAGCGAGCGGCTGATGGGTATGCTCCGCGAGCTGCAGGCCGGACGGCGGGCGGTGGCCGGGCCAGCACAGTTTGACACGTCGGCGCCCGCGCTGCTGATGTCGGGCAAGGCGGCGATCGAGCCGGGCGACTCTGTGCTGGCGATGAATCCTGTGGAAGTCGCGCGGCAGCTGACACTCATTGAGTACGATCTGTTTGCAGCGATCCGGCCGACCGAGTTCCTCGGCCTCGCCTGGTCCGAGCCGCACCTCCGCGACAAGGCGACGAACCTGAGACGGGCGACAGCGCGGTTCGAGGCGGTCTCGTTCTGGGTGGCGACGACGATTCTTCGCCAGCCGTCGAAGCACATGCGCGCCGGGGCGATCACGTTCTTCATCAGGGTGGCGACGGCGTTCCGGGCTCTCAACAACTTCTCGGGCGTCATGTGCGTTCTGGCGGCACTCTCCAACTCTGCTGTCTCGCGACTCAAGTTTACCTTTCCGCTCCTGCAGCCCGATGTGGTGGAAGAGCGCGAGGCGCTAGACAAGCTGCTCTCGGTCGAGTTCAACTCGAAGCGATACAAGGAGGCGCTGCGGTCATGCAACCCGCCGTGCATCCCGTACCTCGGCCTCTTCCTCTCGCAGCTGACGTTCATCGAGGAGGGCAACGATCCGTTCAATCCGGACGGGACCATCAACTTTTTCAAGCATCTCAAGGCGTACGAGACAATTGCCGAGATCCGGCGGTACCAGCTGATGCCGTACAATCTGCGGCGGCTGCCGCAGCTGCTGACATATCTCAACTCGCTCAGCTACGCCTCGAATGCTGAGCTGTACGACCTCTCGATACAAGTCGAGCCACGCGGCGCGTCGTCTGTCCCGTAGCCGCGATAGCGACTGGCGGAGAGCATTGAATGCCCGTGTGCGTGTGCTGAGCGCCGGCATCGCCGTCTTTACAACATGTCTAGCGTTCAGAGGAGCGGGTCGGCGTCGGGGTGCAGCGGGTTCTTGACGACGTTGAGGCATGCCTTGAAAGCCGGGCTCTTTGCGTCGCGGATGAGCTCGTAGATGAGCGACTGCGAGGTGGTGACGACGACGCCTGCGGCGCGCATGCGGTCGAGGGCGACGTTGCGGTCGTAGAGACGCTGCGAGCCGATGCCGTCGGCAAGGGCGTGGACGGTGTAGCCGCGATCAACGAGGTCGAGGGCGGTCTGCTGGACACAGATGTGACCCTCGAGGCCCATGAGGACCACATTCTTGACCTCGGGCAGATCGTCGGCGAGGAGGGCCTCGACCTCGGGCGTGACCATGGAGAACAGGGTCTTCTCGAACGAGCGGACAAGAGTGCCGTCGTCAAGATCGGCGGCGGCGCCTGGGGCTGGGAGATCAAGCTCTGCGGCAGTGTGGCCAAAGGCCTTGGGATACTGCTCGGTGACGACGACAGGCACCGAGAGGGCCGACGCGGCACCGAGCATGGTGTGGGCGACCGAGACGACCGAGTCCCAGTTGGCCACCAGTGGGCGGAAGGTCTCCTGAATGTCGCAAACAAAGACCGCTGTCCGGCCGAGTCCTGCACGAGCTGCCATGGCCATGCGAGCTGTGGGGAGATGTGTGGGGTGGGCTGCAGGAGGAAGGGGGTGGGGGGCGGGGGAGGAACGATTAATTGAACGAGAGAGTGTTGATTGTTGGGGCGGACGATTAATTGAACGAGAGAGTGTTGATTGTTGGGGCGGACGATTAATTGAACGAGAGAGTGTTGATTGTTGGGGCGGACGATTAACTGAACGAGAGAGTGTTGATTGTTGGGGCGGACGATTAATTGAACGAGAGAGTGTTGATTGTTGGGGCGGACGATTAATTGAACGAGAGAGTGTTGATTGTTGGGGCGGACGATTAACTGAACGAGAGAGTGTTGATTGTTGGGGCGGACGATTAATTGAACGAGAGAGTGTTGATTGTTGGGGCGGACGATTAATTGAACGAGAGAGTGTTGATTGTTGGGGCGGACGATTAATTGAACGAGAGAGTGCTGATTGTTGGGGCGGACGATTAACTGAACGAGAGAGTGTTGATTGTTGGGGCGGACGATTAATTGAACGAGAGAGTGTTGATTGTTGGGGCGGACGATTAACTGAACGAGAGAGTGTTGATTGTTGGGGCGGACGATTAACTGAACGGGAGAGTGTTGATTGTTGGGGCGGACGATTAATTGAACGAGAGAGTGTTGATTGTTGGGGCGGACGATTAATTGAACGAGAGAGTGCTGATTGTTGGGGCGGACGATTAATTGAACGAGAGAGTGCTGATTGTTGGGGAGAAACGATTAATTGAACGAGAGAGTGTTGATTGTTGGAGGGGCGAGTGTTGATCAATGATGGTGGCAAGGCCTGGTTGCACGATTGGAGATGCACGCGACAAGGACGATGCGACAGGCAGGCGAGGGAGGAGACGGAGACTGAAGGGAGGCGGACACTTGTCGCTGAGACGTAGACAGTGAGCTGAGGATGCATGTGCGTGTGCGTCTCGGGAGAGAGCATGTGTGGCCAGACCTGCCCGGCATGGCCCTCCTTACCATTACCACCCTCCTGGCCCTTGCCCTTGTCCTCCCTCGCCCCGTCACCGCCACCGCCTCGGTCGACTGGGCTGCCTTTGGCATCGGGCCCGGCGAGGATGTGGCCCAAGCCGTAGCTATGGACGAGAACGATGTCGTCTATGTTGTCGGTATGTCATGCCTCCCTCCCCCCCCCCCCTTGCAGTGGCAGCGCGAGTGGCCTGTCGTGTGGCTGGCGCTGCGCGGACGGGCAGGGCAGTCCAGGGTGTGTGACGCATGCTTGTCCTGGCCATGATCACACGCACGCCCTGTGGTGGTGTCTACCCCCCCCTCCCCCCCCCCCCCCCCTCACCCACATGCCCTCACCCCCCTCCCCCACTCTTGCCACAGGTACCTTCCACAAGTCCATGACCATCCAGTCGCACTCGATCTACTCTACCCTCTCCACCACGGTCGAAGACGATCCGACAGCCGCCGGCTACGGTGAGATGTTTGTCGCCGCCTTTGATCCTGACGGCACGTACCTCTGGGCCGTCTCGTCGGCCGTCACCGCCGGCTCTGGCCATGGCCTCAAGCTCTCGGCCGCAGAGGCGACCGTCAAGTCGGGCAACGCTCTGTACATCACGGGCGTGCTCTCGGGCGAGGCGGTGCTCGGCGACTTTACTCTCAACTCGCCCGACCCCGCCGACCCAGTTGTTGTCCTTATCAAGGTCGTGCCGCAGACGGGCGTCATTGAGTGGGCCACGTCGGCAGAGATCGAGACCTTTGGCGGCCGTGTGGGCATGACGTACAACCCGGACAACCAGGTCGTCGCCCTCACCTCGTACATCCGCTACAACGCTACCTTTTACGCCGTCAAGGAGCCGGGCGCCCCCAGGACGAGGTCGTCCTCTCGTGCCCGGTTGTTGAGCAGACGTCGGAGACCTGCGCCGTCGTCGTCGTCTACAACAACCTCGGTGGCATCACCCTTACCGAGCTTGTCCCGCCTGTAACCGCAAAGTCGTGGATCATCCCCACAGACATCGTTTACTCCTCTACCGACACCACCTACTTCTTCACCGGCTCGATGGTCGGCTGTGTCACCTTTGACGCCTCAATCGGCCATACCTGCGTCCCGGGCGTCGGCCAGGAGGGCGTCTTCCTTGCCCAGTACCACTCCTCGTCCGGCAAGTTTGTCTCGGCCCAGGCCTACAAGACCGGCTCGGCAACCAACACCGACCTCGGCACATCGGTCGACGTCGATGAGTCCGGCAACCCAGTCGTGGTCGGCACCTTCCGCGACGTCGCCAACTTTGGCTCCATCTCGGTCATTGGCACCCCAACGCCTGGTCCGCCTTTATCTTCAAGTACCACACCGTCGAAGGTTCCGTCCTCTGGGCTGAGGCCGTCGCCTCAGACGGCTCAGACATTGGCGCCGGCGTCCACGTCACCCCGCAGTCTCGCGACGTCATGTTTGTCGGTATCGTCTCGGGCTCGGTCGAGATCCAGGGCGTGCCCGTCAACGTTTCCAAGGGCGTGGTCCTCGCCCAGTTTGACGGCGACACCGGCGACCTTGAGTTTGCTCAGGTCCAGCAAGGCACCCTCTACTCGACTGACTTTGCTCTTGCCCGCACCCAGCCGGCCGGCGGCGCTCCGCTACCCATGGTCCTCGTCGGCGGCTTCCTCAACGAGACCGCAAACGTCTTTGACGTCGCCATCATCCACTACGGTGACACTCCGCTGCCCCCGGCCCCGCCCTCGCCGCCCACCACCACCGCCGTATCAACCGCGTCTTCGACCGGTACCGCCGCCTCGCCCCACCACCACGAGCACGTCGCCGTCGCCGTCGCCGTCGTCTTTGGCCTCGCCCTCCTCGTCGGCGGCGCCATCCTCGGCTTTATCTACCGGCGCCAGTCCTCGGGCAACTTTCCGCATCAGCGCCTCGACGACCAGGGCCGCCTCCCGCCCTCGGCTCGCTCCGCAAACATCGATGCCTCGCTCTCGGGCCCGGCCGCTGCCGCCAGCTCCATGTACGGCGCCCTCTAACTTGCTCCCTCACACCTATAAAGCACACACCTTTCGCTTCCGTTTATCAACTCATCAGTGAGAACAAATAGCCAAAGACAAACCTGTCCTGCTCAAACGGCAGCTTGGGATCGTGGATCTGCCCACTCGCGGCATTCATGCTGAGAAGGTGCGACGCCCTCGCCGCATACTTTTTGCACACGGCGAACACCGTCTCCGAGTCCGAGCCTGAGCCCACAGCCATTGTCGGCTGGCACGACACGTATTTTTTGCCGATCCGCGTCACCACATACGGCGAGTCGTACGTGTAGCCGGGCACAACCTTGACAAAGTCGAGATCCACCGGATCTGACCCGCCCGCATACACAATGCCGTAGACCGTGCCGGACGCGCCGCTGGTCAAGGCCACGTACGGGCCGAGTGAGTCCTGTGCTACCACTCTCGGAGCGGTCCCGTTGAAGAATACCTCAACCATCTGCCACGCCAGCCCCGATCGCATCTGCACAACCATGACCGGCTTCCCATCGTCGTCGGTAGTCCACGCCGACACGCTCGGCGAGTACCATGCCGGCATCATCGCCGTCACCTGGTGCAGGATCTTGCCGGAAAAGGGCTGAAAGGCGACAGCCATGAGACTGCCACTCTCCGCCCATGCCACAGCCACGCCCTCGCTATCCCCGTCAGTCAAGCCGACGCCGATGATCGCGTAGCCGACCGGAAGAACCGGCGCATCCGTCTCGGCCGCCGTGATGTTGCTCGCCCCCACAGTGGCCACCAGCAGGGCAAACTCGGTCGTCGATCCGGTGGGATAGCTCACAATCTGCCCCGACGGATCGCCGGTTGCCACCAGCGGTGCAGAAACCATCGGAAACGGTGGGAGCTCGACACCCGATGTAAGCAGAGTCAGCTCGCCAGAGGCCTCGTCCAGTCGCCCCAAATAGCCCCCCGGTCCGTTATCTCCGTAGATGAGGCAGAGCTCTCCCGACGCGCCTGCGCCACAGCAGAGCGCAATCCCAGTCACAGCCAGAGCCAGCATCATCACAAACCGTCCTGCCGTCATCCTCTCCGCAAAATGTCGAGTCACGTCTGACGGTGTACTTCTCCTCTGCCTCGCCGTGTGTGGTGGCGATGGGTCCAGGGGTAAAGCCGCGCGTGCAGGTTACTTCTTTTTTTTTAGCGGCCAAACCACCAGAAAAAGAGTGTTCGATTCGAACACTGGCGCATGGGGTTGGGGATGGGGATGGGGACGGAGAGGGTGAGGGTAAGAGAGGGAAGCCTTTCTTGTGCGGGGGCAACAGATGGCTACGACAGAGCGGCAATACGAGCCTCGATGGAAGAGACGTTGTCGGCGATGGTCGCCATGTTGGCGGCCATGTTGTCTTGGACGGTGCGGAGGAGGGAGGCGTTGGCGGAGAGCGACGAGGTCAGCTCGGTGTGGGCCGACGAAAGGGCCTCGAGGCGGGAGCCAAAGTTGGCGGCGTCCTCGTGGAGGGCGGCCAAGGTGCGGAGACGCTCGACAACCGCCGGCACGACGTCGGCCATAGCGTCCCACTTTTCGACGGCGGTGTAGACCGTGTCAAGCTTGGCCTCAAAGCCGTGTGCCGACTCGGCAGCCGAGGCCTTGTCCAGCACCTCGTCGAGCTGGGCGGCAAGGCCCGCGAGCTTGCGCTGCATCTTGGTCAACTCGTCGTCGTCGAGCAGCGTGAGCCGCTTGTCGAGGCGGGCAACGGCCTGGACCAGGTCGGACGAGATGGCGGCCGACGACGCGGCGTCTTCGGCCTTGGGCGGCTGGCCGACGATGCGCTCAAGCTCCGAGAGCCTCCGCGAGAGCTCGCCGAGCGTAGCCTCCTGCTTGAGCCGGGCCAGCTCCGGGCGGTAGTAGAGCGAGTAGGTGACAGGCGCATCGGTGTCGGCACCGGTGCTTGCACCGGCCGCGCCAGCCGCCTGCAGGCTCTTGAGCTTGGCGAGCAGGGTGTCTGCGGCGGCCTGCTGCGACTTCAGCGTCGCCTGCAGCGCGGCATCCTCGTCCAGGACCGGGGCACCGGTCGACGACGTCCTCAGCTCGTCCAGCTGCGACTTGAGGCTTTTGAGCCCGTTCTGCATCGTCGCCAGTGACACGCCCTCTTCGGCCAGGCTCTCAACCGCCTCCTTGTCGTCTGCCAGAGCGTTCACGTCGTTGTCCAGCGCCTGAAGCTCACCTGCCACCGCGTGGTACCGCAGCAGCAGCGCCGCCGGGCCAGAAGCCTGGCTCGCAGCCTCTGTCGGTCCGATCTCATAGCGGCTGAGGCCGACCAGCGGGTTGAGCTCGTGCGGCGGGCCGGGCACCCGCCGCCGCCGCCGCCCACGCCGGCTCACCGAGTCGGACATGTCCTCCTCCACCAGCGCGCCCACTGGTACGTCCGCAAACCGCTTGGCCGTATGCTGCGCCGAGCTCAACTTGGCGCTGTTCACCTCGGGCACGTCCACCTCGTCCTCCCCACCAACCGCACCACCTCCTCCGCCCTCTCCACCCTCCTCCTCGCCCTGTGCCACCACGTCGGGCGTCTCAAACACGTCGCGCTCGTCCACATCCTGTCCTCCCCCCCCCACACAGACACAGACACAGACACAGACACACATAGACACATATCCCGTACACTCTATATGTCAGACACAGTCCTTGTGCTCCACCCCCCCCCCCCCCCCCCATCCCCCTTCTTCTTACGGACGCTGTGCCCACCTCCAGGTGGTTTTTTTCCCTCAGGCGGGGGAAAGAGGCCAGGTCCCCGTCCATTTTCCCGCCACCCCCCTTCCCTTCCGCCTTGCCCCTCCCCCCCCCCCCCCCACACACACACATACAATGCCCAGCTTGGCCAGCTTCATGGCCTTGGCTGCAGAGGCTGACGACGACATGCTCTGCGTTCACGGAAGTGAAGTGCTTGCGACTGTGACTGCGCTTGTGCCTGTGTCTGTAGGAAGGGGGGGCCGAGGGGGGGGGGGAAGAGGTGGTTTCCGCGGCTGATCGCGATCGCCATGGCGATCGTGGTCATGCTCGGCGCTGATCGAACAGGCGCTGGTCAAAGGAGTCGCAGGCAGAGGCGAGAAGAACGCTGTTTGGGCAGTGGGTATGCGTATGGTAGTGAGCATGCATGTTGATGTGAGTAGAGATGGTGGAAAGGGGGGACGAAGGGGATCAGAGGTTATGAGGCCGTGGATGTGTGGGTGGGGGGGGGAGGAGGGGGGGGAGGGGGAGGCCGAAGCTGACGTGTTTGACGGCTTTTTCCTACGGATGGCTGGTGCGAGAGGCAGGGAGGCGACAGGGGCTTTCCGGGCATCCCAGCAGATGGGGAGGGTGTGCGAGCATGGGTAAGACGGTGTGGGCAGGGTAGTACGTGGTTTGAACAGGTCACGGGCGGCGGAGGCGGGCGGGATGGCGGGTGGGAGGGAAGGGGGAGGGCGGGTGGCCGTGAGCACGTCAGGCGGCAACTCTGCTCTTTGCTCAACTCGGACAGCATGTGGCGGACCTGCCGCGTCATCACCACCACTGTAAGCAGCCGTTGGCCAGGGGGGTATAGGCGGGGTGGAAGGGGGTAGGACTGGGGTAGGGGAAGGAGATGATGGGAGGAAGGGCGACATGGTGCTGTTTGGAAGAGGCGAGCCTGAGGTTGAGCTTACATGCCCATGACTTATTGTGTGTGTGTGTGTGTGGACGGGCCGTCTGGCTGGCGTCGCATGCTCGGGCTGCGCTGGGCTCGGCTGGCACTGGGCGGGTGGACTGGCTGGCGATGGACGGGCCGTCTGGCTGGCGTCGCATGCTCGGGCTGCGCTGGGCTCGGCTGGCACTGGGCGGGCGGACTGGCTGGCGATGGGCGGGCGGACTGGCTGGCGATGGGCGGGCGGGCGGACTGGCTGGCGATGGGCGGGCGGGCGGACTGGCTGGCGTCTCGGGCTGACGATGGGCATGGCGATTTGGGGGGGGGGGGCTAAACAGTGCGCTGCTGCTGCGCAGCGAGCGATGCTGGTTCGGGCATCGTCGACAGGCGCCGGTTCGAGTTTGCTGGACCCGCTGGACACGTTTCCGCGGCGGCACCACGGACGCATGAACGACGCCGAGGTTGCAGCGATGCTCGAGGTGCTCAACGTCCAGTCTGTGGACCAGCTGATGAACGAGTCGATTCCGGCCGAGCTCCGGGCGACGCAGCCGCTGGAGCTTCCCGAGGGCGTGTCTGAGACGCAGGCGCTTGCCGAGGTCAAGGCGCTGGCGGCGCAGAACCAGGTGAAGGAGTCGCTGATTGGAATGGGGTACTACGGCACGGTCACGCCGCCGGTCATTCTGCGTAACATTGTGGAGAACCCGAACTGGTACACGCCGTACACGCCGTACCAGGCCGAGATCTCGCAGGGACGGATGGAGAGTCTGGTCAACTTTCAGCAGATGGTCTCGGACCTCACCGGGCTTCCGGTGGCCAACGCCTCGCTCCTTGATGAGGGTACGGCTGCGGCCGAGGCGATGGCGATGGCATTCTCGGCAGGGCGCGGCAAGAAGCGCGACTTTTTCGTCGACCGCAACGTGTGGCCGCAGACGCTGGCGGTGCTCGAGACCCGGGCCAAGCCGCTGGGCATCAACATCAAGATTGGCGACGTGTCGACCTTTGACTTTGCCGGCCACTCACTCTTTGGTGGCATCTACCAGTACCCAGACGCGCGCGGCATTGCCTGCGGCAACATCTCGCACTTTGTGGAGGCGACGCAGGCGTCGAACGGGCTGGCCATTGTGGCGACGGACCTGCTGGCGTGCTCAGTCCTCAAGCCGCCGGGCGAGTTTGGCGCCGACATTGTGCTCGGCAACTCGCAGCGGTTTGGCGTTCCGCTTGGGTACGGCGGCCCGCACGCAGCGTTCTTTGCTGTCCGCGACAAGCTCGCCCGCAAGATGCCCGGGCGGCTCATCGGAGTGACGCGCGACTCGGCGGGCAAGCCGGCATTCCGGCTCACACTGCAGACTCGCGAGCAGCACATCCGGCGCGAGAAGGCGACGTCGAACATCTGCACGGCGCAGGCGCTGCTCGCCAACGTTGCGGCCATGTACGCGGTGTACCACGGGCCTGCCGGCCTGCGGTCGATCGCGTCGCGGGTCCACGCCATGGCAGCCGCATTTGCCGCCGGCGTCGCCGCCGATGGCAAGGCCACGTCGGTCTCGGTCCGCGACGCCGAGACGCAAGCGTTCTTTGACACGGTCCTGGTCCGCTTTGACTCGCCGGCCGAGGCGCTGGCGTCCGCCAACGCTGCGCTGGCGGCGGACATCAACGTCCGCGTCGTCGACGACGTCACGCTCGGCGTTGCCTTTGACGAGACTTGCACCGAGGCTACGCTCGCGGCTCTGCTTCCGGCCTTTGGCTCGCGCCTCACGCCGCGCGATGCGCTGGCGCAGGCGGAGCTCGACGCCATTCCGCAGGCGGCGCTCAAGCGTGAGTCCAAGTTCCTCACCCACGCGGTCTTCAACCGCTTCCACACCGAGCACGAGCTGCTGCGGTACATGAACCGGCTGCAGTCGTCGGACATTGGCCTGCAGAACTCGATGATTCCGCTTGGCTCGTGCACGATGAAGCTCAACGCGACGGCCGAGATGATTCCGGTGACGCTCCCGGGCATCTCTGCCATCCACCCGTTTGCACCGCTCAACCAGGTGCCCGGCTACGCGGCGCTGCTGAAGGAGTTTGAGGCGCAGCTCTGCGCTATTACGGGCTTCTCGGCCTTTTCGCTGCAGCCCAATTCGGGTGCAGCCGGTGAGTACGCCGGGCTCTACGCCATCCGTGCGTACCATGAGGCGCGCGGCGAGACGCATCGCAACGTGTGCCTCATTCCTGACTCTGCGCACGGGACAAACCCGGCGTCGGCAGCCATGTCGGGCATGAAGGTGGTGGCGATCAAGACGTCGGCGACCGGCGAGGTGGACCTCGAGGACGCGGCGGCCAAGATTGCCAAACATGGCGAGAAGCTTGGGGCACTGATGGTGACGTACCCGTCGACGTACGGCGTGTTTGAGGCCGGGATCAAGGAGCTGTGCGCCATGGTCAAGGAGGCCGGTGGGCGGGTGTACATGGACGGAGCCAACATGAACGCGCAGGTCGGGCTCATGCGGCCGACGGACCTCGGCGCCGACGTGCTCCACCTCAACCTGCACAAGACGATGACCATTCCGCACGGCGGCGGCGGGCCGGGCATGGGCCCCATCGGCGTTGTGGACGACCTCGTCCCGTTCCTCCCGTCGCACCCGCTGGTGGACAACGGGACAGATGCAGAGTCGGCCATCGGCCCGGTGGCTTCGGCGCCGTGGTCGTCGGCGTCGATCCTGCCGATCTCGTACATGTACATTCGCCTTATGGGCTCAGAGGGCCTGACTAACGCCACGCAGCGGGCCATTCTCCACGCCAACTACATGGCGGCGCGGCTGGAGCCCGAGTACAAGGTGCTCTTCTCCAACGAGGCCGGTCGCGTGGCGCACGAGTTTATCGTCGACCTCCGTCCGCTCACCAAGGCCACCGGGGTGGAGGCCGGCGACGTGGCCAAGCGGCTGCAGGACTTTGGCTTCCACGCCCCGACCATGTCGTGGCCGGTGGCAGGCACCATCATGATCGAGCCGACCGAGAGTGAGACCAAGGAGGAGATGGACCGCTACATCGACTCCCTCCTCGCCATCCGCAGCGAGATTGCTGACATCGAGGCCGGCCGCATCTCTATCGAAGACTCGCCGCTCCGCAATGCCCCGCACACCGCCGACGTCGTCACCGCCTCGGAGTGGAACCGCGCCTACTCGCGCGAGCAGGCCGCCTTCCCGCTTCCCTGGGTCCGCCAGCGCAAGTTCTGGCCCAAGGTCGGCCGTGTCGACGACGTCTTTGGCGACCGCAACCTGGTCTGCACCTGCCCGCCCATGGAGGATTATGTCGAGGCTGACGAGTAAACCTGATCCAGAATCCCCCCCCCTTCTGCATCGCCCCCCCCCCCTCCCCCCCCTCCGTAGTTGCCATCGGATGGCTGGCGGCCAACCCGACCCGGTGACACCACCCGGTGACACCACCCGGTGACACCACCCGGTGACACCCACACTCCCATGTCCACTCCCTTGCAAAATGTCGTTGGAAGCGCATTTGGTCTCTATTATACTGCGATGGTT